CTGAAGCAGCTCCTGGCCCCTGGCTTCAGCCTGGCCCAGCTGCAGCCATTGCAACCATTTGTAGAGAGTGTGTGTGTGTGTGTGTGTGTGTGTGTGTCTGTGTATCTCACTCTTTCTCTGTAAACTCTGCATTTCAAATAAATAGATGAAACTTTTAAAAACAAAAGAAATTAACACTTTTTTTTCTGATTCCTGAGCAGTAATGGAGATAGATACTAACATTTATTCCAAAGCTTAAAACCCAAAGGGCAGAGAGACCATATGTAGGGTCCAAGAGGAAGAAGTAACTCTGATAAGCAGATCCCAAAGACAAGAGTTCCTTAAAGGATATGAGGCTACAGATGGCAAGCTCTAGCTAATGAGTAATCCTGAGTTCAAAAGGGAGCCAAGTGCTGGCATAAAGGGGATATAGCCCAGAGGAAGAAGGCTTCCTTCACACAGTATACCAACCTTGCATATTTCCTGAATGACAGCCTTACCTATGAGATTTGAATTCTTACATGTTTTCATGGCAAATCCTAATTTTACCTTCTCCCAAAAGGCCAAGCAGAATCTAATTTAGTGTGACACTTTCATGTCCAAACTACTTTTATTCTTCAGAGTAAGCTGAGGCTGAATATCAAAATGAAATTTCAAATAAGAAAGCCTACATGTAGGCTTTTTTTTTTCTTTTTCCAAAGTGCTCAAACTTTTGCTAGAAAATCTGTGGCACAGTGAAAGACATTCTGTTCAGGCAGAAATAGCACAGACCCTTCAAGGGGTAGAATTTTATCCAAAAAATAAAGTACATCATGAAGTCTAGCCTTTAATCTCCTCAAAGTGCAATTGAAAACCTTGATTTTTCTTATGGCAAATCTGGAACATGGCTCCATTGCTGTTCTGCCCCTTATCCCACTGTGTTAGACCATCTCTAAAGATAGATGCCACCAGCTCCCTCTTCGTTATGTATAGGTAGGTAGACACGCTCCACAGGAGGTCAAGCCTACAATCATTCTCTTTGGGCCTTAGTGGCATTGCAATTAGAATGTGCATAGAAGACTTTGTAGCTGTTTCAGGCCTTGCTTTGAAAATGCCTATCAGTTTCTCCTTCTGAGTATTCTAGGAAACATAGCTCTCACACTATCAAGAACCTTAGGTTTGGGCCATCCTTCACTGCAGCGGTGCGCCGGCTGCAGCGCGCTGGCCGCGGCAGCCATTGGAGGGTGAACCAACGGCAAAGGAAGACCTTTCTCTCTGTCTCTCTCTCTCACTGTCCACTCTGCCTGTCAAAAACAAAACAAAACAAAACAAAACAAAAACAAAACAAAACAAAACAAAACCGAACCTTAGGCTAGACTACTGATGAAACAATGTGTGGAGGGAACGAAGAGAACAAGGGTCTGAGACAGACACACACACAGAAAGACAGAGACCCTACATGGAAGAGGAACACCATAGTGTCAGAAACTGAATGATTTCATCTTAAACTTTCCAACTCAGTCCAGATCTGGCTGAACGTTGACAAGTTAGCAACCCCAGTGCTACCACCTAAAGAATTGTCCAGTTGAACTTTGTCTGACTTCCTAGCCCTGAGAAGCAATAAATCATTATTTCTTCCAGCCGTTAAATTTAGGAGTTGTTTGTTATGCCACAATAGAAAACAGCAACACAAGTCTAGACCTCATGATGTATTAGTTCCTTTGTTCTTTCACTACGACTTCAATCCTCATGAACATTCCCATCTTTTATATATTAGAAGATTCATCTCCTACACACCTGCTGGGGCCTTCCAGAGAAAACCAAGTCACTGTCAATATACGTTCTCTGTTATCAGCTGAAATTTTTTCAACACTGCTTCCATATGCCCTGGGTCACTCTTCATTCCCTACAGTGGCCATTAAATATATTCATTACACTTCCCTAGCCCTACTATCCTTTTTCCTGCCTCCCTCAAATGGAAGAAAAACTTTAAACTCTGCTTTACATCACAAATAAAATGGGAGAATTCCTTCAGTCTCACAAATTTTCCTGTTTGAAGGGGAACTCATTCTACCACTGGCCTCATGTTTGTAGAAGCTGGTGGACTGGATGCTATGGTAAAGCAGACTGGGCATGTGTCCTTCAACTGCCTTCTCTCTTTGAGATCTATGAGCAGAAAATGCACAGTGACATCTGTTCAGCCATCCTTTTTTCCTTCAGTAAAGCCACCTCCTGTGTGGGAAGGCTGGGAGATGTCCAGATGTCCAGTCTCTCAATGCTTCATTTAGAGGATGTCTCATTTGTGGCTAGAGTAGTAGCAAGTCTGCACACACATTACAGCTACATTCTCCAATTATGGTGCTATTGTTTTGAGTCTCACTTCTCTGCTTCATTGTTTTATCACTGTTTAGGTTTTGAGCTAAGGGAAGGAGAGTGGCAGAGCTACTTTTGTTTCTTTAAAACTCCAAGGCTCCTTGCATTTTATTTGTAAACACCACTGTTCTCTCAACTCCAAAGAATATTTATGAGTTCTTTTTCTTCTTTAGAGCTAATGTTCTATGATCTGCATTGCAATCCCTATCATCTCAACCCTTGTTAAGTTTCTCCTCACTATTCCACATTTTTAAAAGATTATACATATTACATAGAGATAATATATATATATATTATATATATATATACACACACACACAGAGAAAGAGAGAGAAAGAGAGAGAGAGAGAGACTCCTACCAGCTATTGGCTGACTCTCCAAATGCTCACAATGGCCAAAACTGGAACCTATGTTTCCCACTTGGGTGACAGGGACCCAACTACTTGGGTCATTACTTGCTCCTTCTCAGGGTATAGATTCACAGGTAACTGGAATCAGGGAGTCCTACTCAAGCACTACAATATGGGATGTGAGCATCCTAACTGATGTTTTAATGGCTATACCCAGCCTTCAGCCATCTTCTATGTTTTCAACATCTTCAGCACAGGATCTATCTCACTAACAATACTTTCTTATGAGAGAAATAGCCTTCTCTCTCCCTTACGTCACTGTGATCACTGCCATATTTGTATCCTGTTCACAGCTGGTTTTCTGAAGATTCAGCTTTAATCATATTCTTCCACTCGTCACATCTCTTGGACTTTTAATAGATATGATCCTTGACTCAAGACCTTTCAAATTATGATGTTTTTATTTTATGATGGTGTGAAAGTGCTAGGCACTCTGTAAAAATTGTACTTGTACTTTTGGATTTTGATCTTTTCCCAGCCTCATACCATGCAGTAAATACTCTGTCACTGGTGTCTCACAGTGAGCCCTGCAATCACAAGGCGGGAAAGGTACTCTACAGTGTGCTGTGTCACTAAGCTAGGATGTCTAGTAATTTAAATGTGTTTTTGGCTTAGGATATTTTTAACTTGCCACAGGGCTAATGTGATTTATTTTAACTCCATCGTAAGTTCACGTGCATCTTTACACTTTAGCTTGTCTTCCTCTCTACACTCTCTCTACAACTTTTCTTACTAAATTGAGAAAATAACCGGGCTCTCCAGTCTTTCTCTCTCATGGCATGTCTATGACTCCCAATCATAGTGGTCATTCCTTCCCATCTTGGCTTCTGTACTTATTGCTCCCTTTTTGTCCTATTAAATCTCTGAACATTTATTCAACTACTAGTCAAAGGCAGTACTTTCTTGGCCAGATAATTAAATAGTAACTTTCCCTACGACACAACCTTGGCTGTCTTATCATTCCGCAAATTCTGGCTGGACTTTGGCATTAATAGCTGTGCTTTAACTGTCATTTAACTATCACTGCCCAAATCCCTGTCACTGATCTCCAAAACTTCCATTCTAAGTTTCATCCTTTAATTCACTTATTTTAATTACCTAGTAATTTATCTTGAGATTTCTATAAACACCATGAACTCAATTTTTCTTTTCAAACATTATTTCATCAAGCCTGCTCATTTCTTACGTCTCCATTTACATTTAATAGCACTACAACCCAGCAATTCCTTCAGACTAAAAATGCCCACATGATCTCAGATGTCTCCTTCTTCCTTGCACCTTATATGCTATCAGTTTCTAAAGTCTGGGAGCTCTAGCTTTGCCTTTATAATGTTTTTCAGGCATGATCTCTCTGCTCTCAATTTCACTGCTCTAATCGATGTCTCCTCCAGTATTCTGTAATTGACTGCTTAACCTCCAGAGGTACTCTTTTCTCATAACAATCCTGGGGCATTATTTTTTATACAAATCCAAATCAAATGGTTCTTCTCAGTGGCAGGTTGTTGTAGCATAGTGGATAAAGTCACCACCCCTGACACTGGCATCACATCTGGGCACCTGTTTGTGTCCCTGCTGCTCCACTTCTTATCCAGTTCCCTGGTAATGGCCTGGGAAAAGCAGCAGAGGATGGTCCAATTGCTTAGGCCCCTGCCACCTACTAGGTGACTTGAATGAATCTCCTGGTTCAAGGCTTCAACCTGGCTCAGTACCAACCACTGCAATCATTTAGGGAAGGAACTAGTGGGTAGAAGATCACTCTCTCTCCCTCTCTTTCTCTCCTTCTGCCTCTGTAACTCTTTCAAATATGTAAATAAATCTTTAAAAATAGTGTTCCTCCTTTTCTTACACTTCTTCATTGAATCTCTGTTGTCTACAGAAAAGCTGAACTTCTTCAGATTTGCAAGTAACACAGTCACCCTCTGGTTCCACTGCATTGTGCCATCAGTGCGTTATTTCCAATCATTCTCCTGTTGATTCCCTGTAACAAAGCTAGAAAACTTGTTGGCATCTCCTTAGTTAATATATGCACAGAGTGTCCCATTTTCTCACACAAAAGCTTTTTCTACCTGAATGCCCTTTCCCCCCCATCTTCATATTATAGGCTGCCTGTCTGGTTAGCTTCCAATCCTGCATCCACATTCTACACTGATGTCACCGTTTCTCTGCATATTCAAGTCCCTATCTCCATGCCACAGAGAAGGAGAATTTCTACTATTGTTTCACAGTAACATTCTATAGAATTCCATTGTCACACTTCCATACTGTGTGTCAATCTTCTTGTTAGAAGATAGGTTACTTTCATGTATTCAAAAGTACTTGTTGAATAACAGTTTCTCTCAGGCAATGTTCAAGGCTCACACTATTGAACAGCCATGGATCCCTTTCTAATGGACTTTACACAGACAACAAATAATAAACATTGAAGGTAGGTATATTGGATGATGCTGGAAAGAATGAAATAAAGGGAATCAAGAATGCTGGGTCAAGGGGAAAAAGGGAAAGCTTATTTCAGTTTTAGAGAATGTGGCCAGCGGCCACTGATATAGTGAGACTTAAGAAGACTTAAAAGAGGTAAGGGCCAGTTATTGAGAGGTGGGCCTTGCTTGTCTGGAGCAGAAAAAGATAAGCTCCACAATTTAACAGGGGGCTGGATTATATAGCATATGGCAAACCTTTGCATGAGCTTTAGCTTTAAGTTGGTTGAAGTTGGAAGCCAGGGCAGAGGAGGAGTGGTCCCAGACCCTTGTTACAAAAACATTGCTTCTGCCGCTGTGTTAAGAACATACTCTAGGGGCAAAGATAGAATCAGGGGAACCTGTTACAGGTCACTGTAACAACCCAGGGGGGAGGAATAAAAGGAAAAAGAAAAAAAGCAGAAAGAGCAAGAGAAAGAAGAGTGGGGTAGGAGGCATGAAGGAGAAAATGAAAAAAGGTGAAAAGAGGAGACATAAAGAATAAAAAAGAAACAAAAAAGAACTCCCTGTTCAGACTCTGAACCATTGGCTTAACCCCTCAGTAGGATACGGTATCAGCTTCAAACTCAGCAGTGTATCCGCTCTTCCTTTTCTGGGGTTAGTGGCTTCTAACCTGGCTTGCTTTTGATTGATCTGAGAGTATTTTCTGCTAGCTGAGCTACCCACTTTTTGGCCTGTCTGCTTTTTGAACAACAAAATCAGCCCCTGGGAAAAGAGCTGAAAAGAAATTAGGATAAAGCTAATGGAAATCAGGCAACTGGACTAAATATAGTGCTATGTCCTACTTCTCATTTCAGTTTTTCTTTCCCTTGTTTTCTTGCAAATCTGTGTTTAGAGAAAAAATATTTATGTGTTTGCTTCAATAAAATGTGTGTGTTTTCTTAGCTTGGGAAGAGGCTGAGAAATGGAGTAATTCAACAGTGACTCAAGGTGGGAGGGAAAAGCTGGGAAAAAAAAGCAGGGATGTACAAATAACATTTCGAAAGCCAATAGGTATTCCGCCTTGAAAAAACTATTTTAATTGAAGCCATAATTTAAAATTATTGGAAATAACTAGATTCAAAATTGCAAATTGTACTATATTAAGAACAACTATTTCCATGTACACTTTCTTACAACATGTCACCTTGATTTCCAGCTGTGGCAGAGGAAACTTTTTAGGTCTCTGCTTGTTTCCCATTTTCCTCCCTAGCAAGCATTTCATTATAATGTTGTTTTGCTTCGACAAATCTTACTAGGATATTTAATAATTGCCCTTCTTGTGTTGGAAGTTGAAATATCGATCACTTTGAGAGATAATATTTACTTTTTTGTCTGCATCTGTTTGTTCAGTGTATTCAGAATGCAGTCACAGCAATTATCAGAGCTCATTCTTGAAAGTGGAGCAATCTCATTCTTTGGCTCCTACCTATAGGTTTTGCTTCACTTTTACAAATAATGATTTATGCAAAGTCACCGAGACAGCTATTGCTTCAATGCTAGGTTTATTATCTCCAAGATGAACAGACAAGTCATTAAGTGCTCATGGGAGGATTAGTATAGAGAAAGATCACCACATTGTGATTTTCTGGTTACATGGTTCAATACAATGATGGTTTAAGGAAGTAAAAGCCAATTTTAGCACATCCTTTATGGGGTTATATATATATCATCAATAGGCTGTTATAAAAACTGTAAGTGATAGGAATTTTCCCACCATAAAAGTTCTTCCCTCATGAACCCACTAAATGAGTCACGTAGAAAGATATCTTCAAAGGAAAATGATTGATTTGTCAGGTTTTATTTTCTTTGATATACTTCTCATGTATGAGCAAAGATTAAAATAACAACACAGAGTCCACAGAACACTTGTAAAATTAGCCTCATTACTTCATAGCCACATTTTATGATTGGGTGTATATTTTGGTGTAGAGTGTTTGTGGATAGGTAACTGTATCTTTTGTCCTGGGGAAAGAGATACACCTTTTTGTCTGTGCTCTACACATGCATTATAATGGATGGTGAGCAATGAATGAAGTTACAATCAATGTGTGCACCAACATCCACATAAACATCAAAACCTTTCATTATAATTCATTTTAAATAGCGATGCAAGTTAATCATTTCCTTAACAAGAATTTTCAAACTTCCCCCATTTTCTTAAGTGGAAAGCTCTATCTGATTTGTGCGATAGTACAGCTCTTCTGAGGTCTGTCTCCAGACTGTGTTCCATTCTGGCTTCCCATTCCTCTACCAACAAGGCCACCACTACAAACCGGCCTAGGTTTTCAATCAAGACAGTGAGACGATCATATTTCTATCTATGCTCACAGTTGAGCAGCCTATCTTCATTTTATCTTTGCCAGCTTTTCCAAAGTTTTGATGGTATGTAATAATAACAGTAACAATCACAACAAATAGTAGTTGTATTAGTAGTACATTTCTATAGGTGGCATGTTTTAGTAAAGAACACAGATTTGGAGCCAGATGCCTGTTTTTTAATAACAATGCTAATAATTCCAAATTGTGTGAACCAAGGCAAAGTTGTTTAATCTTTCTAAACCTCATGTCCTCATCTTTAAAATGAGGATAATAATTCACAGTCTCATGGGGTTGCCTTGCAGATGAAATGAGTTGACACATGACAGCAGTGCTTAGAATGCAACAAACATTCCATGAAACTAGCTCTAGTTCCAGAACATTCTACGCATTAGGCAGCTCACTAAGGGTTTTGTATGTCATATTGCATTCTCTCAACAACCTCTAATGTAGAACCCAGTATTTTCTGCTCAGTTCACGGGTAAGGAAATCGAAGCTCCGAGAAAACTGAGCCAATCACTTATGCAAAGTCAGACAGCAAGGGAATTCTTGGACTATGGTGTAAATCCAGCCGGATACCAGAGCTTATCTCTTTTTTTTTTTTTTTGACAGGCAGAGTGGACAGTGAGAGAGAGAGACAGAGAGAAAGGTCTTCCTTTGCCGTTGGTTCACCCTCCAATGGCCGCCGCTGCAGCCGGCGCACCGCGCTGATCCGATGGCAGGAGCCAGGATCCAGGTGCTTTTCCTGGTCTCCCATGGGGTGCAGGGCCCAAGCACCTGGGCCATCCTCCACTGCACTCCCTGGCCACAGCAGAGAGCTGGCCTGGAAGAGGGGCAACCGGGACAGAATCCGGCGCCCCGACCGGGACTAGAACCCGGTGTGCCGGCGCCGCAAGGTGGAGGATTAGCCTATTGAGCCACGGCGCCGGCCATAGAGCTTATCTCTTATCCAATCTAACTTTACTACTCCCAAGGACCGTTAAAGTTTCCCTCATCTTTAAGCTTTACTTTATCACACACTTCAATGTTCTATAGCATGTATTAAGTTGTTTATTTGATAGCAACACTACCTGGGCATTTATTACATACTAAACATCTAACCAACTGCATTAACTTATTTACTTTGCTGTTTGTAATGATATTTCACATCTCCTTTTCATGTTGTGAGTGAAATCCTTTGACTGGTGTTTGAGGGGCACTCCTTGATGCCTGCATTCCTTTGTATATCATACACAAAATGGTCCTTGATAATTCCTTAATAATAAGTGCTTAGCAGAAGCACTGCTATCACTTGCTGAGGGTAATAATGGTGATGAGGTTGACAACAGGAAGGACTTTTTAAGCATATTTAATGGTTTGGGTTGAACACAGATTAGGGGAAGCAAAGTAATTAATCTCTGAGATTTCTGAAAAGGATATTCGAGAAGCATATGTCAGATGTACCTGCTGCCAGAGTAAGAATTGGACTTCTTGTTAGAGCCCTGCTTTGATATAATGCTCTGCGTATGATCCTCAGGGCAGGGATCCCTCACTACTTATGTTTTCACTTTAATTATTTGTAAAAGTATACTAGTGAAGTTGGGCTGGCTCTCCTCATGGAGGAGTGAAGGTTCCAGTGAGATCCTGTATGTAAAGGAGTTCCCGAAATGTACACAGTGAGCCCTTGACATCTCTTATATCAAGTGAGAACTTCTTAATCCCAAATGTGAACAGCACTGTAGCATATATTTTCTTCATAAAATTCATTCAACTACAACCATAAATTTTAAGATGCTTCTTTAAAGCCTTAATTAAAATTACTGGGCGTGCAACAATAAAAGGAAAGCAACAAAGCTGTCTTGAGCTGTGAATAATGACTAGTCCACCATGCTCACCCACAAAGCGTTTATACCTCCTAAAGTGTCCCCTAAAGTCCAGCATCTGCACACACATCATCAGCACTCCTGGAGAAAAATGCTGAGTCTTGGGCCCCTCCTTGGGCCTCCTGAGTATCCCTCAATAGGTAACAAATCTTAGTAAGATCCTTTGTGATATGCCTGCACAGAAAAGGTGAAACACTGAGATAAATACCTCATTTAGCCCACACATTAGCCTTTGGTGACAGCTGATTTGAATCTACCCCTGAAAAAAATGAGCTATTACTACCCATAGGGATGTCCATGAGCTCATCCAAAATGTCAAAGCCTCAAATCTTATCCCAGGAATGCCAAAGTTTAAGCTAATGAACTGTACACCCAAAATACACTTTACTCCCAATAACTGGGGCTAGTCAGTGATTCTATCTACCAAGATATGCTGCAGGATAATGAGAACCATTTTTAGGTCAAAGACCAAAGTTTCCTAGTCTCTTTGGAATAGTTTATATCAACACCAGAGGCATGTAAAGGAAAAGAAGCAATTAGCAAATGAACGCACAATGTGTAGATAGCCATTTTTTCTGCTTATAAAAAGCAAACAACCAAAAAAAAAAAAAAAAAGAAAAGAAAAACCTATTTCCAAATGAAAAAAATCTGGAAGTATTTGATGAGTTACTCTGGGATTGTTTGGTGAGGGGCTCAACTTAATGAAATTGATGACCTCCAAGGGTGTTGTTCACTCCTGTGCAGTATGGGTGAGTTAATGAAGCAGATATATATCTTTAGTTCACATCATTTACAAATTTTTGAGACACAGATTCATCAACAAGTCCTAGTACCTATATAATTCTGAAGCACAAAGACTCATTGCCGTTTCACCAAAGCAGAAATCCTATTTCTATTTCTCCCATACAGCCCACTGAGAAACAGACCAGGAACTGGAAAGTAATTTTAAATATTCTGCTTTTTATTCAATTCTCCAGATTTAATTCTTTTTTTAAAGGAAGGTTTATGTGGTGTCCCAATGGATATTTAAAGCTGGTCAACTCCAAGGGAGCACTCAAGTGGAGTTCGGAGGCAATTACCCACATAATTTGGGTTAATTTGATTCCACCTGAATCATAATTGAGACAATATTGGGAATTAGAGTTCCATAAGATATGGGTTTTTCTCTGTGTTGTTCACTCATATATCCCAATATCCTTTAAAGCAAGAATCTGTGGGGTTGCTATGCCTCAAGCTCCAAAATTCTGTCTTACAATAGATACTCAATAAGTATTTTCTGAAAAAGGAATTACTAAAGTCCTTGACTGCCTAATTTTCTTATGAGAAAATCCAAAAGCTGTATATACTAGTACCTTATAAGATTTTTACAAGCCAAAAATGTGGGTCACTAACTTATTTTTCTGTGTACTAGCTATTTATGATTTTTTACAATTTCACTGGCTTTTCTGATTATTAGGTTGAAATGTTCCATGTTCCATTTACTAAGCACTGAATATCATTAGAGATAACATGAAGTTGACAGAATATAAATTAATAAAAGATTACAGAAAGAATACAATATAAATTCTGACTCTGACACTTACCAACTGTCAAAATTTGGGCAAGTTGTTTAACCTCTATTTTTTAATATTTAACATATAGGGACATTAATATGTTGTTTGGAAGAATGCAAATCTTCAATGTGACAAATAGTACTAAAGGACCTATCAGTTATTATTACCTAAAGTTATTTGTTCAAACAGAAGTAAACAAAGCTTGAGTGAATTTTTATATAGGTCAATGACCTTATGCCCCTACTTTTGGAATTTGGTGCAAGTTTGAAAGGACCAGGAGTAAAACAAAAGCATTGAAAAATATTCAAGATGGGCAAGGAAAAAGGCTCTTACAGAAAGCAATATGGTTTGCCTCTTTACCTATCAATTAATCCAGATTTACAAGGAATCTACAAGGTTATCAGACCTCAAATAGTCTAGTCCTCCTGAAAGATTTGCTTTGATCTTTTCTCCTTGCCTAGCTTGATGAACCTTCGCTGCCATTTCTGTGGAACTTCATTTGTGGCATTTTGACACAGATAACAGATTCGAAGGATCAATCAATCTCAAAAGGAGAGGTTCACGACACTAAATTTTTATACAAAATTCTATAAAATAAAACACATTTACACATGAAAGAAAAATCATGGTTATAACTGGACCTTAACTTTTCTGGAATATGTAATGTTAACATAGCCTTGGTGAAACTGAGGGCTGTAAACATCAGACTTTCAGAAAAATCTGAATACATTCACTGATGGATTCGTTCTGTTAGGTAGGTAGTCAGTTATGAGCTTATGTGTGTGTGACAGAAAGGCCTAAAGAGAAGACATCTATGTCCAGCATATGCATCTGCTGACAATGTTTCAGGGGCAGCCCGGTATTCACATTCTGCCCTACCCCCTTCTACCTGATAACCTGCCAGGTGGAGGTCCCTGCCCCTTCTGCCTGACAAATCTTCCACAGTCTCCCAGATGTAGCCCAGTATCTGCATTTCAAACACCCTGCTCTGGATCCCCATTCTCTAGGGGGTCCTGCTCACCCTTCCTATGAACCCAGGATGGCGCCAGCTAGGCTTCCTCCTGTCTGATACCTTCAAGGGAAAACTCAGATAGGAGCTTCTTAATATTTACAGCCATAAAATCCTTTGTTTCAGGAGGAGATGTGTGAAGACAGAGACCCATCTCCTTAAAAACCCCCGGCCTCAACCGGACTGCACACTCAGCTCTCTGCCTCCCACCTGGTCTGGCCAGGTGTAATCTCTCCATTCAACCATGTAACCTCCACCCCCACCCCCAGTCTCTCAGGCTCTGTCTGGAGAGGTGCCCATCCATCCTTACAGAGGATGTCCCCTCCCTAATAAACCTTGCTATTTTACCTCTCACTACTCTGTCTCACGCCTGAATTCTTTTTTGCGCGAAGACAAGAACCCTGCAATTTCTCCGATAACAATTCCACATTTATTCATCCAGTAAATACTTAGGGATTTGCTACGTGCCCATTTTGGGACTGAAGGCTGGGAATGGACAAATTATTAAGACTTCTTCTCTTCAAAAAGCTGGCTGGATATCAAATGCATTACAATGTAAGTTTACTTGTTTTTTTCTACTAGGGGTAAGGATAAGAAAATGTACCAATACATAGGGAAGTCTCCTAAACCAGAATGCACCTGCCCCAATTGGAAATAATGGTCTTTGAATGCAGTATATGCAATTTACACTTATGAAAAGAATCTGAACACCTACAGCTGTCAATAAGGAATTGTGTGAGGATCACACTGCTGGACAGTGACTTGGGGAGCTGACCCATGGCCTTGAAGGAGGTGACTCCATGCATTAAGTTACAACAGGTCAGTGTTCCGAGTCCCTCTATTCTTGCCATGCTTCTATGCATCTCTAATCAGATGGAAAATAGAGACTTAACCACCAACCACACTTTATTCAGAGTCAAATAAACTCAGGCTTTAAAAAAAGGTCACAGTTCCATTAGGTGGCAAAAAAGAAAAAAAAATTCTTGAGGTTTCTCAGGTCTCTGCTATATATCTTACCCCCAGGCTTATGGAATCTATGACCTTTCTCTTTTGACTAACCAGAAACTATGGAGGAAAAAAAATGAGTTCTCCTCACTTTACTTAGTACTCACATTGAACTCACGACCTTCCCCTACCAGTCTGGAGAGATTAGTGGTCCTCATTCCTGTAATTACACCAAGAGCAAGATATGACAATTAATGTGCTTACATAGTACCTACACACCAGACCAGAAGCTCTTTAAAGGGGGTTTAGATTCTCTCGTATCCTTTTCTGATCTCCCCAGTGCCTATGGCAGCTCAGTAAGTATTTACTAAAAGGATGGATGCATGCATCATTCTCCACCTGGCCACCAATTATCTCAGTTCTCCAGAGTCCACCCAGAATGTATAGCACCTTCAAAAACTGAAGCAGTCTCTTCCCCCGAATTTCACACACCTTGGTTTGGATTCCCTCTACTGGTGAATCTAGCAAAATCCCCGTGACTCCTGGTCTAGCTCACAACATTTACTGAGAAAAAGAGAATGCTACCAAGCAGAAAAAATAAAGTCTAAAATGGACAGCATTTCCTGAGGGAGCATTAAACTTCATCTTTAAGAGATCATTGCTTTGTGCAAGGAAACACTATAAAAAAGACTGAACCTTATCATCGGTTTCACTATAGTTGAGCCTTGGAGTACAGCACAGAGATTGAGAAATCTCTTGGGCTGAGATAGGAGGATGACTAATGAACTAGAAGATATCTGGGGTGTGTGATCCTTAATTGTACATTTCATTGCTTTTACTATTTTCTATTACAACTTTATAGCTGGCTAACTGTGTTTTCCAAAACCCAATGCTAGGCAGTAAGAATTTGTTTAAGAAAATAAAAAGAACCTCTCAACTTCTTTAGAAACTTTTTTTCCATTTAATAGATTTTCTCTTTTCTCCCCCTGAAGCAGCAATTCTTTCAAGAACAAGCACACCAAATTTATTTCAGAAATGAATCAGGATCTTTAACATCTCACAATCATTTTCCTTACCTTCTTAAGCATTTTTATTCCTCACAGTTTAATATAATGCAATATTATGAGTCATAAGATTGATAACAAATTATTACAAGTGAAATAATTGCACTTAATGGAGATATATTCCACTTTTAGAGTACTGAGGTAATTCAAGCATTTTCTATATTACAAATGATTATCAGCTTTGAACAGTATCAAATTTGGTAGTTCTTCATGCCTCTCAAGAAGTTCTTAGACACAGATGATTAAGGTAAAACGCTCATGTACATCAAATATACAAATGTAAAAGATGGGCATTAACATTATTGCTTGCTTAGTACTCACATGTAGAGAAGTTCTCATAAACATGTTTCACATGTATGTCTTTATCTTCCTGCAAACTATGAATAAAGTACTTATACATTTGTTTTATAAACAAGAGAATACGCTCAGAAAATTTAAGCTAATTTGTTTAAAGTCACAGAGCTGCTGATAACCAGAGTCAAGAATTCTGACTGTTGGATTCTATGATGTTATAGCTAGAATGAATTTTGTATGCATCCTCCCTCCTCCAGTCCCCTCAGTGACAGGAACAGTGAGACCCAGGAAGCTTCAAACCTGTTAGTTGGTGTCAGATATGAAGGAAATCCATCTGATAATTCTTTGTTGAAAACCTAAGTGACCCTTTGCTCATTTCTCTGCTATTTCTGGTGAAGTACTTTGAGTATCTAAATCATCTCCATGAGTGATCTAATTTTGTTTCAGTGAACACCAGCTGGGCCTACATGTGCTGATAGAATTGAACTAAGAATTAAATACTGTCTATGGCCATACCATCCTGAAAGTGCCCAGTCTCATCTGATCTAAGTAGGGTTGGTCCTGGTTAGTACTTGGATGTAAGAATTAAATCCATCCAGTTGGTGAGTAGAACTCCCCAACAGATTTGCTTCACTATGAACACAGAGATATGATGTACCCTAATAAAGGAAGCTAATGCCAAACATTATTCTTCTTCTTAATCTTTTAATTTGATAGAGAGACAAATAAGTCTACTGGTTCACTCCCCAAATGCCCTCAACTGTTGGGTCTTAACTGGCCTGAAATCAGGAGCCAGACACACTATCTGGGTTTCCCATGTGGATGACAGGAATCCAATTATTTGAGCCATCACCACTGCCTCCCAGAATCTGCACTAGCAGGAAGCTGGAGTGATAAGCTAGAACCAGGAATTGAGCCCAGGCACTCTGAGGTAGGATATAGGGGGTCTTAAGTGCTGGGACAAATGCCCACATCATCCTCTTTTCTTTTCTGAAGAGATAGTACAGTCATCCTCATTATTGCCAAGAATTTTGTTCTAGGACCCTGCCCCCAGCCATAAAGAAACCAAAATCCACAGATGATGAAATTCTTTATGTAAATGGTAAAATATTTTCACATAATCTACACACATCCTGTTAGGTAGGAAGTCAGATATGAGCTTATGTGTGTGTGACAAAGGCCTAAAGAGTTGACATCTAGGTCCAGCACATGCATCTCAAAGTAATCCCGATAACATTTCAGGGGCAGCCCAGTATCAGCACTTGAAACATCCTGCCCTGTCCCTTCTACCCAATAACCTGCCAGGTGGAGGTCCCTGCCCCTTCTGCCTGACACTCTTCCAGATGCAGCCCAGTTTCTGCATTTCAAATACTCTGCTCCTGATCCTGATCCTCCGGGGGGGTCTTGCTCACCCTTCCTCTAACCCAGGGTGGCACCAGCCAGGCTTCCTCCTGCTGATACCTTCAGGGGGAAAACTCAGATAGGAGTTTTTAGTATTTACATCCATAAAGTCTTTTGTTTCAGGAGGAGATGTGTGAAGACAAAGACCTATCTGCTTAAAAACACCGGCCTAAATGTAGACCGGGTACTCTCTCTCAGGTCCTGTCTGGAGAGGTGCCCATCCGTTCTTACGGATGTCCCTTCCCTAATAAACCTTGCTATTTTACTTTCCACTACTCTCTGTCTCACGCCTGAATTCTTTCTTGCGCGAAGACAAGAATCCTACCATTCACCGGTAACAATCCTCCCATATATTTTAAATCATCTGTAAGCTACTAACAATACCTGATAAAATGTAAGTGTTATCTGAACAGTTGTTATCCTGTATTGTTTAGGGAATAATGACCAGGAAAAATGACTGTATATGTTCAGTCCAGATGCAATTTTTAAAAAATATTTTTGGTCTTTAATTGGTTCAGTCTGTGGGTGCAGAACATGTAGACATGGAAGGTTGACTATTTATCATTATACTATTTTAAAGAATACACTAAAAACACATTCCAGTCACTGTTAAAAACTCTTCTCCTGAGATATTATTTTAAAAATATGCTGAACCTGCCCAGAACTTCTGAATGGAGAATAACAATAAAGCATCTCTTTACATATTTAAGTAAAAGTACTATGTTCTCTGCTGTGGCCATCTCACTGGAGTCTCAAAATCATTTTCCAGAAGGAAAACCAAGGCTCAGAGAAGTTCAGTGACTCACCTGAAAAGTCTGAAGTTTAGAGCCTAAACCTAGGACTCTTTCCATTGCCCTTGCTGCTAACTTGAAAATTGTGACGTGGTATGTTAAGTCCCTCCCACACCTTCCCATAGCTCACCTTTAGAGAGGAACTTTGTAGCCTAGTGCTCCTTCATCCATGCTGAAAAAACTAATACAGGGGAACAAGAGGGTTTGCATCAGGAAATATATACCAAACTTTTCTGCTTCTCCTTAGGAAAGCAAATTCTCTGAGAGGAAAATTTTATCTCTAGGGATCGGAAATATGAAGGGTATCGTCACCACAAAGGAAAAGAAAAATAATCATAAAACAGAAACTATTATAGGAAGAAGGTAAAGCTTTCTTCTGGAAGTATAGAGTTGCATTGTCACCCCATTTCCCCTCCCACTGTGGATCTTTGAACACATGGTACTTTTCATTTGGAAAACAGTCATCTTCACTGTCTTCTTGGCCAACAAATGCCTTCAGATCTCAGTTCCACAGAGGCTGTTTCAGAGAAGTATTTTCTCATTGTCCAGGTGAGTTTAAATCTCTTCTATAAGCTCTGCTGGCACTATATACCTCTCCTAATTGTCATGATTATAATCTTACATTTCTATGTGTAGGGCACTGTGGTTGACCCATCAGTGTTTCTGCACTTCCTGTCAAGGTATTTTGCATATGGATGTCTATAGATACATGTTCAGTGAATGAATAAAAAAGTGAGCCAAGAGAGTATGGAAGAAGAAAAAGTTGTGTATCCTGGAAACAGATATAGAGGTAATTGAAAAATTTTCGAATTTGCCTGAATGGATGCAATGAGATATTTTATTTACTGCTATTATAACTGCAATTTTTATATTATTTTGGTTGCTCTTCGAGCTTGTTTTGGGATGGGAATCAGAGACAAATTTAAGGAAGAATTTGAGACAACAGGAGAAAGAAGTAAGGAAATTATTTGATATAATGCTTCTGCTTTCTGTCCTAGTGAATCAATAGTTAGATTGCCAATAGAATGAAGCATTCTTCAAGGAATGCATTTCTGATCATTTCCCATGAACAAAAAAGTCAAAAGAATATGTTTCCATTTACTCTTCAGGCCCTTTAAATATCATTAAGATTTTGAACTCGAAAGAATTTACTTCCACAATCCAATTCACTTTCATCATCATGCTTGTACTCAATTTTTAAACATGTCATTCTCAATACTATCGTATTATAGTTCACAACAGAAATGTTTAATTCCCTCAAACACCTGTTTTTGCTCAAACAAAACAAAAATTATCAATACAGTTCAAGTTCAGTAAATTCTAT